CTTGCAGAATTCCAAGGAATAACCTTTATCACAAAACTGACTTATGCTAAGAAGGTTATAATTGAGACCTTCTACATAAGAAACAGCTTGGATGGTTAGTCCCTTGTACACCAGATTTCCTAGCCCTTTGGTAAGACCAAAATCATTGCTTCCTCCAAAAGTAACTCTTGGACCATCATAGGGAATTAGATTGCTCAAAAGGCTCGCATCACCCGTCATGTGTCTTGAACAGCCACTGTCTAAGTACCAGACACCTGGGTACTTAGCGGCTTCCTGTATTAGGAGGAGGAAGATTTTGGTACCCAATTAAGTTTGGGTCCAGAGTAGTTAATGGTGTGTGTCCCTACATCAAGTTTGAAGTTGCAGGGAATTTTCCTTGCAGCTCTAAACTTGTTGGGATTGTAATCATAGTTGTAGGCATAAAACTTCCTACGTGCAGGTGGTGCAATTTCCTGTTTCCTCCTAACAAACCTAGGTTGATAAGACCTATGATTTTGTTTAGGTTGTGCATAGTATGGTCTGTGTCGGTTATAAGCATACTTAGGTGGCACAAATAGTTTCTGGGGTGGAGGATGACTATATTGTGGCACAGTTCTCCACTCAGAATTTCTTGGAAAACTCCTATCTACCCCATAATGAGTATAGCCTCGTGTATAATGGGGGTTAGAAGGTGTTGGAACACGGGTTTACGCCTCCGTCGTACTAAACTGTGTTCGTCTTTATGACAGGTTTTGATAATTCCAAACCGCCGCGACATATCGAAGCTAAAGTGAGCAGGAAAACTAAGGCAAAGGAACATGGCATGATGACCTGAGAACCAAGAACCCAGAATCAAGAACGAAGAACTAGAATTGTATTGAGTCGGTCTTCATGTGATCAAGACCGGCACAAAATTCCAAATCTTGGCTCTCTAGACTCAATTCATAAAAATCTCTTTTACATTTTCAAAAATATTTTTCTTAAGTTTTAAACTTGGCTCAAAACACTTGGAGTTCGCCCAAGCCAAAAACCAAGCCATCCGGCGTTCGGCTTTCAGAAACCGGCGTTCGGCTTTCGGTTTTCGGCATTGGTTTTTGGCGTCCGAACCAATCAAGTGGTTTTCAACCTTTTATGACTTGTTTTTACTTCTGGGCACATTTAAATAGTTCTCCAACAAAAACGCTTCAAAAACCACCTTTCGTTTTTGGTCGTTTAGTGAAAACCATGCGAAACGGCGTAAACTTGGCTAGCCGTGGTTTTCAACTAAATGACGTGGTTTTCAAAACGTTTTACTTGATTTCTTAGCAAAATACATTAAACAAACATTTTCAATACTTGGTTTTTACCTTGGAGAACTTACATTTTTTTCATCGGCTAACGGCTGACTAAACCAACCATGGGTCTGGCTAAACCAGCCCAACAGCGATGTTGGTGAAACCAACAGCGCTGTCTGGCTTGGATGGCTGAAAACCATGGTTTGGCGTTAAGTCTTCCAACAGTGATGTTGGATGTTAGACATCGCTGTTGAGCCACGGTTGGATTTCCAGAAACTTCTGGAACAGCGATGTAGGCTCCCCTACAGCGCTGTCCAACCTAAGCCAAAAATATAGTGCATTGGCAGAAAGTTTTTGGACAGCGATGTTGACCCAGCAACAGCGCTGTCAGGTCAAACTTCCATCTCCAAAGGCAGACCTAAACAGCGATGTTCTAGTATAGAACATCGATGTAGAGACCTGACCGTTGGAAGGAATTTAAGGCTAAAACTTTCCTTGTTTGGAAGTCAACAGCCAAAACAGCGATGTAGGGATTTTAGACATCGCTGTTGGCATGACCGCTGCTTCCCATTTTTTCAAACCGCAAGCCTAGAACAGCGATGTCCAGGCCTAGGACAGCGCTGTCTGGGCGATTTTCAACAGATCCAAATTTCATCAAATCCCACAAATTATGCCAATCACCCCTTAAATACTTTGGTCCGTTGGAGCCTATTTTTCTACTATAAAATGAGGTGTTTGGGTCTGTTTTATATATCACATTACTTCTCAACTCCTACTCTTTCATTGCAAATCATTCTTTAACTATTCATAGCTTTTGAGAGCCATTTTTGTGAAGCTTGTGTCGTGTTCTTGAGCGTTCTTAGTTTACTCAATATCCACTCTAAAAAGAGAGTATTGTTCTTGAGTGTTTTTAGTGTTCTTAGACACTTGACAAGAGAAGGTACTTCTCTTGTTGTTCGAAGGAAGGGTTGTTTCCTTCGAAGGGTCGTTGAGGTTCGTGTGACTCGAATTCTCAAGTTGTACGGGTTTGTTAAGCACCGTTAAGCTTAACGAGATAGTAGTATAGCTCGAGAGAGTCTCTCGGGAGGCTGGATTAGCCACAAGTTGTGGTGAACCAGGGTAAAATCGGTGTGCCTCTTTCTTTTCTCTTTACTTCTCGCTTATTCATTTTTATTCCTGCGATTTCTTGATCAAACGCTATTCACCCCCCCTCTAGTGTTGGTCTATTATTCTAACAGAAGGTTTTCTTCTGAAATTATTTCCTTTTTGAGGTTTGTCCAGCTTCCTATAGTTCTTAGGAGGGACTACCTTTTTGGGAACTTCTGTTGGTTTCTCCTTTTCCTTTCCTTTCTGCTTATTTGGTTTGGCAGTAGGTTTAGGAGGGATGAAAGTTGTTCTCCCTCTTCTTTTGGAACTGGAGGGGTCAAACCCAAGTCCTTCACGACCCTTATGTTTGGTCGTTTCAAGAAGCTTATCCACTGCTTCTTTGGACTTAAGTGTCCCTAGTTCTTTGTTAAGGGATTTCACCTTTTCAGAGAGAGATTCATTTTCAGTCTTGAGTTGAGTGATCTCATCCAGTTGACTTTTCCGACCTACAGTCAATTTGAGATTCTCTTCACTCAATAGTTTGTTCTCCTCTGTTAAGGAAGAATGTTTGAGATTTATTTCCTCAAAATCTACCATCATCTTTTTGAACTGGTCAAAAAGATTTTCAGAAGTTGGTATGCTTTCATAAGAAGATGAGCAGGAGGTTTGTGAGGTTACCTCTTGATTGGCATCATCTTTGGCCATTAGGCAGAGAGTGTCATCTTCTGACATAGTCCACCTATCCTC